CCCCATGTCCGTGCCCCCTTGGGCTGGCCGAGCCCCGTGCTCCCACCTGGGTCCCCGCCCAAAGCTTCTCATGCTGACGGCCAGCGTGCGGCCGCTGGGACGGAGACGACAGAGCTGCGGCGCTCGGTGCCGGTCCCCCAGAACGGCAGCACCCGTGCCCACCCCCTGCGCTGCCAGCCCGGAGGAAGGGTCAGAGGGGCTGGTGGGGCACATACTCACCTACCCCCTTCGCGTAGTCCGTGGCGTGGATGTGTGCGGGGCCCAGCTCCACAAAAGAGTTGAAGACCTTGTACAGCACCTGCAGGCAAGGGAAATCCCTTGGGGGAGGCAGGGGATCGCCCTGCCTCAAGAGGGGCAGCACCTGCGGGGCTGCGGAAGAGGCATCTCCTGCCCCAAATCTGCAGGCAAAGGCCCCCACGGCCAGGAGAGTGGACCCAGAGAGCATGGCACGGGTCTGCCCCCAGCTCGGGGATGTCACCGGCATGCTCTGCCCATCCTGGCCCTGGCCCGCGTCAGGCTCCACTTTAGAGACCCCCAAGCTCCAACTCACCACGGTGACAGCATCGTTCAGGAGGGACTCGCCAAACACGATGATGAAGAGGGTCTCATTCACATGGACCTCTTCAAAGACAGCCAGCACTGCCACGGGGTCCACAGCTGAGATGAGGCTGCCGAAGAGCAGGAAATCCATCAGCCCAGCTTCGACGCCTGGATCTGCTAGGACAGAAGGACCAAGCTCAGGCAGACCATCTGCCCCAGAGCCCCTCTCACCGGGCTGAAACAAGCCTGTCCCCTCATCTGCTCCCGGGGACTTGGCTCTGCAGCATCCCAACCCGGAGTGCAGTGGTCGGAGCCCGGGAGTGCTCCCAGACCTCTGGGGTCCCCCCGGCGAAGTGGGGCTCAGCACGTCCTTGGTCCGACATGAGGGGAGCAGGGCTTGGATGTCCCCCTCGGCACCCAGGTGCGTCGCGGCCCCTCTGGCGGGTATGGACCGAAGGAGGCTCGGCAGCCCCACCTCAGCTCCAGGCATCAAGCGGCTCCTCGGGGCTCAGGAGAGCTCAGAACACAGCCCAGGCCAGCCAGGGCCAGCGGCTCCAGCCGGGGACGGGGAAGACGGCAGCGAGCCAGCAAAGCTCGCCAAGGTCAGCGACAAAAATAGCAAAGACATGAGTCAGCCCAGCGCCGAGCAGGGCCCGTTTGTCCTGCGTGCTTGACGGTCCTGCCAGAGCACCGTTCTCAGGATGCCAGGACCCGGCTCCTGCTACAGTTCCTGGGAATCCACGGCAGGGCCGGGCAGCAGGCTCTGAATTTTGGGGGTGCGTTGCACCCTCCGACCCGCCTTGCGGGGATGGGGTCCAAGCTGGGCAGCCCTGTGCACCCACCCATGAGCCCGGCCTGGTGCAGCCCCCAGAGCGCAGCACCGGTGGTGAAGGAGTTCCAGAGCGTGCCCACCACCGCGTAGGTGAGGATGGCACCGATGTTGTCGAAGAACAGCCGGCTGGGCATGAAGTAGCCCGAGTCTAGGACGATGGGGGGCAGGAGGAAGAGGAAGAACATGTTGGGCTCCAGCTGGTATTCGGCTTTCTTCGCCACGGCCAAGACGATGCCCCCCAGGCCCAGCCCCAGCAGGATGAGGAGGCAGCTCTCCGGGACGATGGACGTCACCTTCCTTGACAAGTGGAAAACTGGAAGGAACAGGAAGAATGCGAGCATCAGCCAAACGGGCAGGGGACAGAGCACCCCGGATCCACAAGCCCCACGGAAGAGCTGGCTGATGCACGATGGACCCCGGGGTGGACAAGGGAGCACTTAAGGCTGCTTCGTGGCCATGTTTGCGCAGAAGACCTTCCAGCTAGCTCCCAGCCCAGGGTTCTAGGTCCCCAACTCTTTGCGATCTCCCTCTCCTCCCCAGCCACTCTCTAATAAGCCAAGCAGCCGGGCATTTTGCTTTTCTTGGCTTCTGGTACCTGCACTTAAAGGATAAAAGCAGCCAGCGAGCACGTTCATAGCGTGACAAGCAAAGGCGACCGCTGCTCGAGCCAAGGCATCCCGGTTCACCGGGACACGATACCCCGCTCAGAGACGAGGACGCTCAACCCTGGTGACGACCTTGTTTGCGGCCGTCTGAGCAAGCAGACGGAGCCGCACGCGAACCGCTGGTCTCCGTGCCAGAGCACAACCTTCCTCAGCGCCGGCTAACCTACCTGCGTGCAAAAAAACCAGACACACGGGAGCTGCAGATTTAGAGGCGCTTTGAATAACCGGTTTATTCTGCACGAGAATAAACCTTAAATCGTAATAAATCTTAAACTGCCGTGCCAAACGGGATGCATTATTTTAGAAGCAAGCAGCGTATGCCCCGGTATCCGTCCATCAGCAGCGTGGCGAC